CCACAACCATCGGCTTTGCCATATTGCATTTGAATTCATAGCTTCGCTCTCTGCATTCCCAGACGGCAGCTCTTGTTTCACGCTAGTCATGCGTGCGTCCCGACACGTATTTATGTCGTTCGAGGACTTTTTCGGTGACCAGGATACATTCGTTTCGGATCAAACGAGCGGGAGGCCCCCGTCTCAGACGCGCGAGAAACACGTCGCATCCCAACGCGACGTGGAATTTTTTTCCAACTCGTTTCAAACAACGTTTTAATCGTTTCGTTGAAAAGATTACCCCGTACCGAGAAACCAGTCTGATTCTCGAGAAGAATCTGTGGGACGGTGGAGGATCTCCTCCACCCTGGACTCTTCGCTTTCCTCCGTTTACCGTTCGTCTATTTCCGTGTATCTTGGAGGAAATCGCTGTCTGTGATTTATGGATCTGGTAATTGAAACCGACAAGCACCGGCTCGTGTCACCGAAGGGAAAGGGTGGAAGGTTTCTCGTCCACGTGAGAGTGGATTCGGTCGTCGACTAACGATTCTTCCGTCAACAGGAACGTTTCCCAAAGAAACCGAGGAATAAATATTTAAATTTCGATTAGGAATTCACGCGTGGCGTGAATGCGTGTACATACATAGTTTTAAACTTCGTGAATTAATTTCAGAATTAATTTCATCGCGATAAAGAGCAAAGCGCATCGTAAATAAAAATATCAAATGTTAGGGATATTAATGGTAAAAAAGATAATTAAAAAAGGGGGAAGAGGAGAGAGAAAAAAAGAAGTTTCCAGCTGGTTACGAATGCTGTCGGCGTTATTGAAGAGCGAGTCTTTGAAAAGGTCTCTCGAAAGAGAGGGTTATTAACCCTTCGAACTCCTCCTCCGCGACTACTTTGCCGCTCTTACGAACGTGAAATCGAACGCACGAGCTTCTCTTCCGATGCGTGAACTTCTGTGGAAATGGTACGCGTGCCAGACACGTGTTCAAGCCACTAACCTCGTATTTTTCTACCCCACTTCCGCCACTAATAACATCTATTCATCACACGCTCTTCACAAACTTTCCAATATTCGATATTCGATATTTTTCTTGTTCCTCGTTTTGTGCGCAAACAGGGCACAAAAAAACAAAAGAAAAAGAAAAAAAGGAACCATCTGGATCCATCCGTGTGCATTTCTCAATCTTCGCATCAAAAATTTGCAATATTTCCCGATTTTCGTTTTATTTTTCTCGGATTGCAGGATTTAGAAAGGGAAAATAATAATAAAAAAAAAATCTGTAAGACGTACACAAACTTATTCTTCTTCGAATCACGAATGCACGTGCAAAGGTGTAATAAAAAAATGGATATAAAGAATTGGAAAATCTTGGTTGATGGAACGATGATGGTTATTCCGGTGGAGGGGAAGGGTAGGGGGGAAGCGAGGGGAAGCGGCTCGTGTGCTTTCGTGTGGTTTTTTGAGTGGTCCCGAAATATCCTCGTGCCGGGAGCACGAGGGAAGATAAAGAGAGAGGAGAGAGAGGGAGAGAGTGCGTTAGAGCCGTAGAAGAGAGAGATGAGATGGGAATGCCAGTCTTCGGTAACTAGTCATCCTAGCAACGTGCCCTCGCGAGTTCTTGCCGGTTGTGACAAAGGTCGGCCCAAAGAAGAAGAAAGATCCCGTGTTAACCCGTGATAATCTCGTCGTTCTCTCGTGATTCATCATTGGACGATATTTTCGATCGTCGAGCTACTACTATTATCACTTTCCATTTCGGAAATGGTGGAAACGATAAATCTGGGCGAAATGAGAGAGCGCGGAAAACCGATTGCAAACACGGTGGTCTAAAGTCACCAAGTTTCGATCGATGTTGCCTCGATCTTAGCCGCTCGTCCGCCGCGATTCAACGATCGGGCGATAAATGGGCGGCGATCTCTCGGGAATTTAAACGTAGCTCGAATCGATTTTGGGATTTGGGGAATCGCGAGGAAATCCTGGCACCGATATCATCGTGTATAATAAATATTCTGTAAGGATCGTGGAAGATTAGGGAGCTCGATGAGCCACGATTGAAAATGCCCCTGAAAATCGAAAGTGGCACGTACACGGTGAACCCCGTAGCAAAGAAGAACGTCTCCAA